CGGGCGAATGAATGAATGGTTGGATGCTGCCTCTTTATTTATACTTTTTCGGATGTGGCCGGACCCTGCCTGAAAACGTGTGGGCCTGGGCCATAACCCATGGTCCTCGCCCCTTACCGCGCGGGGCTTAGGTTTGGAATGTTCTAGGCCGCGTAGGCCGCGTAGGCCGAAAACTTGTGGACCCTTTGGGCCAAAACGCATGGCCCCAAAGCGCGTTTCCGGAGGCTTCTGCATACCGTGTGGCCAGAACCTTCACCCGCGTACAGCCCTCCCCTGATACTTTGCTGACTGGACCGGCCTACCGGTTAGGTTTTGGAATGTTCTAGGCCGCGTACGCCGCGTAGGCCGAAAACTTGTGGACCCTTTGGGCCAAAACGCGTGGCCCCAAAGCGCGTTTCCGGAGCCTTCTGCATACCGCGTGGCCAGAACCTCTCCCCACGTGCAGCCCTTCCCTCATACTTCGCTGACTGGACCGGCCTACAGGGACCTACAGCCTTCTAGAGCCTACATAGTACAGACCTACGGACTGACTCTAGGTCCTCAGTAGACTCAGGTAGAGACTTCTCGGACAGACCCTCGTAAGATTACCCGTAACAGACTTAACTACTAACCTGCAGACCTAGGGATCAAGCCCAACTTACCCGACCTACGGCCTAACCTACGACACAGGACAAATCGCGGGTTCGAATCTCACACAGTCACCGGGTAGATGTACAGGGTACAGGAATAGGTCTAGGGATCGAATCTCACACAAATAACCGGGTCAATGTACAGGGTACATAGGGTAGGCCTAAGGTTCGAATCTCAGGTTTGTGCCTGTCGGGGTAAACTGGGTGAAACCTTTACCCGACCTACGGCCTAACCTATGACACAGGACAAATCGCAGGTTCGAATCTCACACAGTCACCGGGTAGACGTACAGGGTACAGGAATAGGTCTAGGGATCGAATTTCACACCGATCACCGGGTCAATGTACAGGGCACATGGCGTAGGCCTAGGGTTCGAATCTCAGGTTTGTGCCTATCGGGGTAAACTGGGTGAAACCTTTTCGGCAGAGTTCGTAAAAGAACAACCTTTCCAACTATACCCCCTCACTGTAAACAAACATTGTACCCCACAATGCACCACACCCTTACCCACTTCTCCTCAAGTATACCAACAGCGATTCACCTCCATCCTACATTCTAGATCACAAATCTCAAACCCATTTCTTTTCAGCGACAGTAAAAATAAAAAGAAGTCACGATGACCACCAGAAACTTAAACACTCCATTAAAAAAAAAAAAATCTCAACCGATAAAAACGCAAAAAAAAAAAACAAAAAAAAACACCCAGGTTCTGACAAAACCTCTACAGGGTGGCGCAGCGCGACCAGGAGCACTGCGCCACCCGTACTTGGATTTCGGCCTGCGGAAGCATAGAACGCTGCAGTGCAAGGCAAGAGCTGGTGATGCGGACGTCGCGAGGAATAAACGTTGGGTTGACGGGACTTCTGCCTCGTAATCGGGGTCGGGACGCAGGATATTCCGAGGTAGTGGAGCGGGGAGAAGCGTGGTGAATGGACATCAGAGCCTGCTATTGTTGGGTGACTTCTGTCGGGCCTCGTGTATTTTCATCAGCAGGGTATGACCAATCCAGCAGCAGTGATGATCATCGATACAGCAAACGATCAGTGGTGGTAGGAAGAGTCTCCCCCCTTCTTCGGCAGCAGGGTAGGTACGAATTTGCATGTTTTTTTTTAGAGATTTCTAACCCCCTGTGGTGACTCGCTAACAGGTTTTGTGAGGAGGTGCCACACCATTTTTGATTCTTTTCAGGGATTGAACATGGCCGTCGATGGTTTTCGGTGTTAGCAGTGCCCAGAGCCTTAGCAGCCAGCAGTGGGAGGAAGGGTTCTTCCTTGTCCGAAGACGCCGGGGTAGGGTTTGAGGTGAAGGAGGTAAGTAGGTGCTGCCAAGGAAGGGGAGATGGAGGTTACTCGCTGATCTGCTTAGATGGCGTTTGGTTAGCCCATGCTCTAATGATTGCTAATAACTGTCAAAAATCCCTTGATCTCCTAGCTAAGAACTGTCCAAAATTCCTTGATCTCCTAATTTGGTTTCTCATTGATGATCTCGATTTAGGATTCTTGATTGTTCTCGAGTGTTTTCTCACGTCATTCTATGAAGGTTCTGATGGAGATTTGAAGTTGTAGTTCCTCCATACATAGATATTTTTCTCTCTCTACGTCCTGGAATAATTCTGAAATACATCTTTGCAATATTCTAATCCTCAGAGCCTAATACATTTGCCAGTTTGAAAGTCAGGAATCAGACTGCGATTCTGATAGATTCACAATTCTGAATGTTTTTTACTACACATAGCTTCTGAAATTCCAATCCGAAATTCGCCGGGATCTTCATGCAACTGTTTTTCCAATGATTTTTTCTAATGATTGTTTCTTCCATAATCTAAGTTCCTTTTACTACTATCCTTGTTGATTCATTTTTCAATCTTCTATACCAACGAATTTCCTAAGTTGGATTTAATTCGTATTTAGATGTCTAAGGGAAAACATACACGATTAATCTCGTTGATTTTCTAGGGTCTTTGTGGCGAGATATTTTTGTTTTTTTAACTTTGATCAGAATTTGACCTAACTTTTGTCAGAGTTTGGTTGGAAATTTGAACAGGGGCCCCAGGGGATGGTCAAGTGGAACATCTTGTAGGGTCTTGGGGGATCTTGTTTTGGAGGGGGCAAAGGGCATCAAATGATTCTTAGCAAGGACGAAGACGGGATGGGATAGGGCTTTCTAAAGAGTACCGGTCAGGGGGACCACTTATCAGATGTGATTGGCGTTGGGTAGTTTACGTTTTCCAATGGGTACCGGCTGATGAGGGTGAGCCTTGGCGCGGTTGGCGTTGGGTGGTGTTGTCTTATCCCCTTGAGGACGGAGACCGGAATTCTTGAGGGGGCAAGGAATTTCAGGGTGATGATGGTGCTCGCCCTCTGCTGAGATATGGTTCTCTGGACTCTTTACGAGGACGGAGTTTGGGAGAACGAATGAGGTTCTTCCTTTCGATGATGGAGGCAGGATTGTTCGGGTTCTGTTTCTGGAGCTGCCTGTTTCCCTGAATTTGTCCTATTCTTGTCAGAGATAGTAAAGTGAAGTATCTTGTAGGGTTTCGGGGGAATTGTTTTGAAGTAGGAGAGGGAGCATGAAATGATTCTTTGCAAGGACGGAGAGGGGGATGGAATAGGGTTGTTCGACGGGTACCGGCTAGGGGGAGCTCTTATCAGATGCGATTGGCGTTGGGTAGTTTAGACTGTACAATAGGTACCGGCTGATGACGGCGAGCTCTGGCGCGATTGGCGTTGGGTAGCGCTTGTTTACCCCTGAGGACGGAGACTGGAGTTCTTGTGGGGGCAAGGAAGTTCGGGGTGATGATGGTGCTCACCCCCTGCTGAGAAGCGGTCCCCTGAAACTCCGTACGAGGACGGAGTTAGGAAGGACGGATGGGACTGGGATGGACGGAGTCGGGGTGGATGCGATTGGCGCCAAGTATCTTGGCGGGTACCGGCCACTGGCTGCTAACTCCACCTGGAACAATCTTTTGGGCTGACTATTCCAGGGGCTGCATGTTTCCATATTTTCGATGACGGAGGCAGGATTTTTGGGTTGACTATTCCAGGGGCTGCATGTTTCCATATTTTCTAATTTTGACCTATCATCAAAGGCTGTCCCTGCTCAGTTAATCCCCTGATTTCCGGGGCAATAAATGCTGGCAGGGGGAGATCTTCTTAAATTTGTCTCAAAAAAGAGGTGTGTGGGAGAAGTAGATGGTTTGGATATCAAGCGTCCTCCTAGTGAGGGGGCTAGCTCGTAGGATGGAAATAGGGTACAGCAGCAGCGGAGATGGTGGCTCTGATACAGTAAGTCTTGCCAGAGTGAGGTTAAGAGAATTGATGGGGGGTTTCTGAGTCGTTTCTAGCCCAAATTTTTTTTGGCGAAAGCCGGGTAATGGCCCCGGTATCTCAAACTGTCGAATTTCTATGTAAATTTCTATATGGGACGCTGGGCCCGGTTCCCAGCACGTGCTGCTCCCCACGAGTAGATTGGAGCCTTATTAGTTTCTAGCCCAATTTTTTTCTTGGCAAAGCCGGGTAATGGCCCCGGTATCTCAAACTTTCAAATTTCTATGTAAATTTCTATACGGGACGCTGGGCCTGGTTCCCAACACGTGCAGCTCCCCACGAATAGATTGGAGCCGTGTTCCCATCGGAAAAAAAAACAAAAAGAAAGACAAAACCTCTGTAGGGTTTCAGGGCGTGTGCAAGCTGTGAAAATATATCAGAATCTGTCGCTTGTAATGATTTTGTTTTAACAAGTCAATTTTTATTTTTTCCTTTTTATTTCCACATATATCAATGAATACATGACCATGTTCATACACGCATGTCTTATATCCCACGTATTGCCCAGAATTATGTGGTTGGCTGACAAACCCCTCAAGATATCTGACAATCTCTCATTATCCCCTAACACACTGTGACATCCTCTCAGCCACTCCCCATGCGCTAACACCCTCTGACATTCTCTCGAGCTCTCTCTGATCACTGACACTCTGTCCAGCTCTCTCTAACTACAGACACTTTATCTCGACCAGACGCACTATCCACTTGTCTGCCATACACCCCACCAGGTGGCGGCAGAAGAAAACGTTTCAAGACAAATCTCGACCGTCGGATCGATGACTGGACGTCAAAGAATAGGCCACGACAAGCTGTATCAGAGCCCAGGGGTGATAAAAATGAGAGAGAGAGAGAGAGAGAGAGAGAGAGAGAGAGAGAGAGAGAGAGAGAGAGAGAGAGAGAGAGAGAGAGAGAGAGAGAGAGAAGGGAGTCTGTGGAAGTTGTGTGAGCGGCGAAGTCCGCAGGAGACTCGAACACTTTCTTTGTATAATAATAAAACTTTGGTGCCAATCCTTGATGCAACTCTTGTGTCTTGGGTACTGGTTTTCGTCTCGGATTCTCATGTGAATGTGTTTGTGGAGGTTTGAGAGTGGTTGACATAAGAATCATTGCAAGGGGCAGCGACTGGAGAAATCCGGGAGGTTGGGAGTCCTTGGGGGAGGCCCTGGGTTGGAGGGCGGGAATGGGGACGAGGGGAAATACTGGAACAAAGCCCAGAAAATGAAAGAGTGAAAAAAAATCAGGCACCGGTGCAGCTGTGCAACCAACCCTGTTTCAATACAGTTAGCATGAGCTGTCACTGATCCTTGCCAAACAGACAGGAAATACTCCAAACTTATGAAATACATACTGGGAAGGCTATCATGTGATTCTTAGCAAAGTTTCTCCAAGCAATGAAGAACACAAATTGTATCCATGCCGGCTCAAACCTCAAGGGTTGTGTCCCTGCACTGTCATGGCACGAGCGGAATATTTAGTACTCGGTCAATTATTCCCTCCTTTCGATGCGATAATAGAAACATAAACTGAGCATACCACAGACAGAATTAAGGTAACAACGATTACTAAGTTAATATTGATTGCTGTACATGAGCCTGCTTCTGCACTGCTGCCTTGCTCCTTGTCACATCTGTTCACCGCTGTGCTATATGAGCAACAACATCCTCTTTTCTTTTTGTTTTCGCTATACTAGCAACAGCATCCACATTCCTGTGTGGCCGAGCGGATCAAATTAGCACTCGTGGAGTAAAGGACAGCATGTGCGAGCCACAAGCAGCATGCGCCGAGCACAGGACAACAAGCCTCGGTTGCAAGAAAAACAAGCACTATGCATGGTTTCTCTACCGCTTGCAGAGATCATGATGTGTGAGAGAATTCATGAGCATGAATATTCGCAAGCACACAGTCACCTGCATGGGGGTGAGCAAGCGTCGCTCAGCCCCAGCGCACAGTATGAACCAGGACATTGTACCTCTTCACAGGCGCCTCACCATGCACCTGTTTTGCCTGTAGAAGCTGTTTAATGGCAATGGCTGGTTAGCCAGTCATCCAGACAACGGGCCAGGCCTCTTCATACACCAACCTCAACAGTTGTACTACAATCGCATGGCAAGAAACAATTCCTGACATTGGGTGTTGGGTTAGAAAATCTCCTCACGGAGGGCGACTCCTACGCAAACAACACACTACACTGTTGTATTCTGCCATAAGGCTCACAGTTTTAATAAGTCGGATAGCACATGGCCATGATTACAGCCAGTTGCAGTCAAAGACTCGCCAAGAATGAGCAGATATTCAAGCTCACAAACAACCACCCATGCATTTGTGTAAAGGGTTCATTTATGAGTGAGTCCTCCTCATTGAAGCTTCTGAGCGATGATCCACCACACTGTACCACTGGGAGGAAGTTGGCCAAACACTGCCAGGAATTCACAAAACAACCTAGGAGAACAACCGGGAAAACGAGAAAAGAGAAAAGACCTCGAGGAGAGCAGAGGTTCAAAACATGAACCGAAAGCCAAGAACATGAAGACAAATTTGTATACACTTCAAATTCTTCACAGGAAAGATCTGGAAATGAGGGAGAAGAAGAAAACTCTGCACTAATCTCACGAAGAACGTGATGGGATCAAGAAAAGTGCCACAAACCTTAAGAAGAATGACAGATGGAACAAAAAAAACACACAACCCTCTTGAGTGGCAAAAGGAGCTGCATATATGTGAAGCACCCCAAAAAAATCCTATCACAGCAAAAATGGGGCGCACCCGGGGGAAACGAGGTAGCCATGCCGTTCTGAAGGCTGCAAACTTTTGCGCGGACCTGGCCGCCTCACAGGTTCTCAAAGAACTTGAGATGATCCGAAAGGGTCTCTCCATGCCTGATCTTCTCCAGTTTCCCACCCTCAGTCACCTGCACAACCGCCACAAGCAGAGAGACATAAAAGAGTAGTGGTCCATTCCATGGGGCTCCATCAGCGGACAGAAAACAAAAGAAAACAAGAGAGCCTGTTTCATTAGGCTCTGCCAGCTAGGTACGAAAACATCAAACAGTGGATGGCTGATAGTTCAGTGGGTAGAGCACCGGTTGCAAATGCACATCATTGTCTGACGTTGCGGGTTCAAAACCCCGCATCTTCGTGCACATGGCGCCGGCGGAGGTTGACCGACGCACAGCCATCCACACACTGAGCACGCATGCAGCCAGGGGCTACTATCACCAAGTCTGAACTGGGGATCCACCCACCTGGTGCCCATCAGATGCTGAGCCCCGACCATGCAGTTCCCTTTCGATTGTATGGAGGCTATGGGGGGAGACCACTCCGGAAGGGGCGGGCTCAGTGGGGATGCATCACGAGAGCAGTGTGAAGTTTGTCCCCTTCCTAGCAGGGGTGACTCTTATCCCCTCAGCACCCGACGACTGCCAGCGACTGTGGTGGCTCAAGGTCTCCCGGCTCAGGGATACAGGACCCTGAGTTTGAGGGGGGACCACCCCGGCGCAGCGCTCCAAGTAGCACCTGTCCCGGGGCGAAACTCTCAGGTCGCTGTGGTCGAGGTTGTGCACTCCACATTAGTGACCTCTGTGTGTGTGGGTCCGCCTGGCTGTCAGGGTGGCTGAACCTGGTGTGCACAGCCGCCTGCCGGTTCTCCTCCCTCCATAATATCTCGGACACCACCCCTACAACCTTATTATAACAAAAGAAAAGATCAAACATATCAAAAGAATGAAGATGCTTCAGTTACCCCATGCAAGGAAATGAGCGATAGCGAAATGACAGAAATCGAGAATGCAAAATCATATTGAAAGCCAGCAAGTCCAACGCTGTCCAGAAAGCAGAAATGCACTGATATTGCACCAACGGAGAACCAAAACACTGAATCCGAATGTCAATGAGAGCACACTCTCGCCACCACCAACATATGTATCCAGAGTCCCTCCTACTTGGCGACCAGCGCCCAGACAACTACTACACAGCTACTAGCAGCTTACGAATTGCCAATGCATCCCGTTGACGTCAGCAGCAACAACCAAAATGCATGAAGATGTCAACCCTGTCGACCATTGCCAAGACCGGTACGTGGCCTCACATCATCACACCTCGTCTCTCTCTCTCTCACCCTCGACTTCTACTACCCACACCTTCCCTCTCATGCACGAAGACCACCACCACCCGCTAAGTCCAAGCCCCAGCCTGGCTATGAAGGCTGCGCTATGGCGCTGCCCTCAGCAGCGCCCTCTACCCTCTCGACGCTCACCCACAGGAGGGTCGCTTGGGGCTCCTGTAACCTGTAGAGATGTCGTGTCTGTCTCGACAACAAAACAAGTTAGCATAGCAAACAAAGACGAGCAAATCACGAAACTCGCGGAAAAGTCGCTGAAAGGAACAAGATGAACTTTTTACTCAATCCAAAACAATAGGATCTGATGCGCTGCATCCGGTTCCAGAAACAGGTTCAACGTCCGTGTCAGGGAAATCGGTCCGAGTACCGACCGACCCTACGACGTACCCTCCTCCCTATCGGATGTCGCCCGTATCAGGCTCGCTGATCCCATGGCATCGTGTTGGAACTCTCAGTGTCTGGGGTAGACTCGCGAGCCCATCGAGGCCATCTCGAGGTTGAGCTTTACCATGCCTCCACGCACTGTCACCGTCCCCCTTGGAAGGTCAGGACTCGGGTTGGGGAGAACTTGTGACACGTTCCTCACCAGTCCCCGTGTCAATGAGTTCCCTGTCGCGCCACTCAAGAAGACCGCTTAGACAGACCGTGGAGGCATGGTCCCCACGCATAAAGTGACAAGGTCCCACCAAAATCCGCAGGGCCCGATTCTTGGAAATAATAAATTTATGGCCTAAGGGCCCCATTCTCAGCCTTAGGCTCGCGGCTTCCCTTTGGTTTCACTTACGGCCTAAATGTCAAGGCCTCGTAAGTGCCCACGCAGCAACTTCCTTCTTACTTGGGCCCTCAGTGATCTGCACCTGTTGTCATCCCTTACACCGCCAGAAGGCTCCCCGTAAGAGTCGAGCGCCCTCTCTCGTCACGCACACCGCCACGCTCTAGTGCGAGTTCGGGTCTCTCGCTCTTGTTACTCGGCCAGCGCTTCCGACACCTCCCCTGTCGTCACCATACTTTTATGCCTTGCCAACGATAGGTTTTCATAGTGTTCATTGAAAAAGGCTCACTCAGAATCAACGGGCCACACTTTCTTAACGTCTTGGCCCTGAAACCCCCGGCGTGGCTCTGATCCCATAGTTCTTTGATGACGGTCGTGACCAAATCAGCCATGGCTGATACCGGGCCTCGTTCCGAACCTACGTTCGGACCTGCCCAGGCCCTAGTGGTCCCCACGCAAAAAGTGACAAGGTCCCACCAAAATCCGTCGGGCCCAATTCTTGGAAATAATAAATTTATGGCCTAAGGGCCCCGTTCTCAGCCTTAGGCTCGCGGATTCCCTTTGGTTTCACTTACGACCTAAATGTCAAGGCCTCATAAGTGCCCACGCAACAACTTCCTTCTTACTTGGGCCCTCGGTGATCTGCACCTGTTGTCATCCCTTAGACCGCCCGAAGGCTCGCCGTAAGAGTCGGGTGCCCTCTGTCGTCACGCACACCGCCACGCTTTAGTGCGAGTTCGGGTCTCTCGCTCTTGTTACTCGGCCGACACTTCCGACACCTCCCCTGTCGTCACCATACCTTTATGCTTTGCCAACAATAGGTTTTTATAATGTTCATTGAAAAAGGCTCACTCAAAATCAACGGGCCACACTTTCTTAACGTCTTGGTCCCGAAACCCCCGGCGTGGCTCTAATCCCGTAGTTCTTTGATGACGGTCGTGACCAAATCAGCCATGGCAGTTAGATCTGGTTTCCGCCAAGCACTATCCTCAAGGAAGTAAAGGGCGGCGTAAGGCTGGAGTCGGCCGACAACAGCACCCCCCCCCCATTCTCGACGTCCCCAGCGAGCCATCTTGGAACATCAAGGAAAAATAATTTTGGACTCCTAATCTCTACCAATCAACCCAAGATTTTTTCCCTCACGGCTCTCATCGGACCTTTTTCTCCCATTTCTTGTTCTTGCTCCGCTTTTTCTTAATCATCTTCCTTTTTACCCCTAATCGTTTCTTAACCTTTCGTTGTCGCTTTTTGCGGATTGTTTATCCTCACCTTTGCCTACAACTATCGCGCTTTTAATGGCCTCCTTAACTCTGGGTTTCTTCTCTCTCCTCAGTCTGGCCGTCTTTAAGACCTTTCGCTTCCTTTTCTTAATGTCCTTTCTCCATCTGTTTCTAACGCCCAAGATCCCCCCTCGTCTCTTCTTTGTACACTTTTTGGAGCTTTCTCCTTTCTTGTAGGTGGATGACTTAGGTCCCTCTGGCGACTCCAGCGGTTTCTCCTCGACTTTTTCCTTTTCTTTGTCCTTCCTCAGGTTCGGGCGGGGGTTGTTTAAGCTTTCTCCTCGCTCTCTAAACACCTTCTCACGTGAGCCAGACACCGGCTCCTTTCACCTACCCCCGTCTAGTTCCTCAAGCAAGTAAGCACCTCCTTATAATCTTCTGGTCACACGGTAAGGTCCCATCTACCTATTCGCCAGTTTCCCAGACCAAAACCTTTCCAGTGCTCAATCGTAAAGCAAGACCAGGCTTCTTGTAGGTATGCCCTCTTGCCTAACTATCCCACCTCTCCTTGTCCTTCTCTCTCTGACCTTTCAGCCTCTCCACGGCGGGGTGTTTTCTTCCAGCGTCTCAACTATCTGCCTAATTAGTAAATGTTCCTTGGTTGGTACCTCGTCCCAATCTACCTTTGTTCGTGAGTCCATATGAAACTCCATGGGCAAAAAGCAGCGCCTCCCGAACCACAGGGTAGGGCTGATAACCAGTGGTGGTTCAGACAGTAACATTATCCGCCCAGACTGCGAATCTCAGGTATTTTTGCCACTTCTTCTCTTACCCCACACACCACTTGGTGAGTGCATTCACTAAGGATTGATGTCCCCTTTCCACAGGCGCGTGAGTCTAGGGATGGTATGCCGTAGATAACAGTACTTGGATCCCTACCCTCTGCAAAAAGGTTTGGACTTAGCCATAAATTCCGACCCCCTATCCATGACGATCTTTCGGACACATCCGTACCAGGTGATATACTCTGTCAAACACTCACTAACCGTTTTCTTCGTCTTTTGACGTAGTGCCATGGCCTCCACAAATCCGGTCAAGTGGTCCATGATATCCATGATGGAATTCATTCCTCCTTCTCCCTTGGGCATCTTAATTAAGTCCACATGAACCTTCTCGCCTGTCGTCGTCGAATAAGAAGGAAACAACGGTTCCTTATATTTGACTACCGCTCTCTTTTGGCATTCCTCGCATGTTTGGCAGTAGGCCTCTACATCTCTATATAAGTCGTCCCACCAATAAAGATTCCTGACCTTCCCTGACACTCCTCTATGACCTCCAACAACCCCATCGTGAAGCTCGACAATTATCTCCCTTCACTCTTCCTCATCGCATACTACTCTCATCTGCATACCATTCTTAGGCGGTCTTTTGAAGAGGTGACCTGCCCTAAGACAGTACTGCTGAGCCTCCTTCGTGAGTCTATCATTGACATCCACTTCCCCGAGAAGATATAGCCCTATTTGGTGGTACTTACCGGTATAGAGGTTTTCCAAGAACGGAGCGACACCACTAGTGCTAGGCTCAATCCTCACCGAGCCTATTTCCATCCGCAGGAGCCTGTCCACCCCTCCAAGCGACCCCAAATCCCCCTCCTCTAGTCTAATGGGTGAAAGTCCATATGCTACAGCATTCTTGGCCCCTGATATACGCTCCACTATGTAGTCAACCATTCTTATGTGCATAAGCCACCTGGTTATCATAGGATCCGTTAAATAGAAGTCCTTTTGTAATACGGCGGCT